TGAGATGTATGACTTTTTATTCAAGCTAGAGTTTTATCATGAGTACCTTAACAGATTAAGAGACAGTTCCCTATTGCAGAATGTTGTCAAGCACTCTCTGGTTTAAAATCGTATTATTTCATCCTATTAGATTTAACCAGTAAATTTGGCCATTCAGCCATTTGTCAGCAACTTCTTTCCACCTTTTCTGTTTTCATGCGTTCCAGGACACAAAGACGAGTATAACTATAAAATATAACAATACTGACCATAATACTGAATATAATACCGACTGATGAGAAGCACTGTTGGCTTCTTTGCTACAGTTCAGGCCACATTCATCAACACAGAAACTGACGAGACTATAATAATACAAACACTATCATTCAAAAACTTGGGGTCAGGAAGAAAAATCAATAATTTACCAAGAACGACTTTCAGTAGAGACTTTAAAAGATTTTTATTTTAGACAAATGCATCAAAGAATCTTAAAAAAAAAGTTGTTTTTAATTAAAAATCAAGTAAGTATATTTTATATTGTAATAAAAAGATTTTACCAACCCCAAACTTTTGAACACTGTAAAATTATGCAAATGAAAGTAGTGCTTTTTGGATCTTGTTGAAGCAGTAATACTGAGAGGGTGGTTTGGGCAGTTTCCGAGTAAACATGTCTGAACACAAAAAGTATGTCGACCCCTGACTGTGTGTTTATTTTTAGAGTATAGTAAGAACGAAAAGGAAGTAATTTTTTTTTTTTACATCCACTGCTAATCTATTACGAAGCCTATAAGTGGATGATGGTACATTCAAGAAACAATTCAGCCCTGTCATTTCAGCTCCCTCAGCTTTTTTCTAGGTGCTTATAATAAAAGTGTAAACAGATGAGCAGAGTTATTATTTGCAGTGAAGTCACTGCTTGCAGAAAACAGATCTAAATGAATGAGCTGTGTCCAAAAGCAATGATTTGCTGGTTTGGTTCACCAGGATTTGACATTATACTGTAGTACTTAAAACACTGTGCTGACTTGCAACAGATGACCAAATTATCAGTGTTTCAGCTTCCTTTTAAAGAGTTTGTTTGTCCCAAAATAAAAATATGTCATCATCTTTACCCGTTCAACTCATTCCAAACCTCAAGAATTTTATATATCTTTGGAACAAAAAGGAAGATTGTTTTAATCAAGCATTTGTAAAATAAATTTATTTAAAAGAGTTGAGTGTATCAATTGATTATAGATTTTGCACAAATCAGTGTTTAAATGTGAACAAAGTATTTCAAATCTGCTCAAAGAAAATGAAGCTTGCTTGTTTGATGTGAAAACCAACAAGAGTAATTCTTGCATGTTAGAACCCATGTGGTTTGCTCCCGCAGATCAAGCAGGTATGGCTGAGCTTCTGTTTTTGTTCACAAATCTATGTTTGTGTAATTAAGTCAAAATTCAAAATGCTCATCAAATAAAGCAGTCTTGTATTTTGTTCTTTTTAGGAACATTATGAAGAGAGAGTTGTGATTAAATATACTTTCAATGGAGAGACAGAATGCTCTAAGATTTGGGGTTTTGAACAACATGATTGCAACATTTTTATTTTGGGGTAAACTTCAAGTTAAATAACCATAATGTGACATTCTACAACATTTTAGTGCAACATTTCACCCAATATTTAATAGTTGCAATAAGCGGATACAGGTAAATGTATACCCAACCATATAAACTGCTACATGATTTTAAGATCAAATAAAATCTTCCAACCAAAATACTTAAAAGATTAAAACAGATAGTTCATCTAAACTGAAAGGTTTTGTCCTTTCATTGACAGGTCAGACAAGTATGTCTCAATCAAATTTCTGGAGGACTACGAGCTCTGCACATTTCCCATTTCTCCTTGACCAAAAACACCGGATTCAGATCATCAGATTATTAGCAGAGAATGAAAGACCTGTAATGGGTTTGTCAGACAAAGGAGGCATCCAAAACATGCAGTGTTGGTGGTCTTCCAGGAACCTGGTTAAGAAACACTGGGTTAGACAACTTCCATTTAGAAGGTGCAGAAATGCAGTGAAAACCACTGAATCTGTTCTTTAATAAAGCAGTATTTTGCTCCTAAATGAATTGCCGATGATTCAATGATCCATTCACTCAATGAACCAATCATTAACATCTTTAAGACTCTATAGAGTAGACAACAAACAGTAGAAGTATACTTCGACAATTCATCTTTCTGAACCTTTAAAGTGAAAATGACTAAACGCTGGAAGATTTGATCCAAAATAATATTCAATTATGTTCCGATCAGGGCTGCACGATGAGTCAAAATTGTGAAAAAAATCAGTGATAGTCATGCTCATCTCGTCAGCAGAAAACAGTTCTGTGATCAGTAGTAAAGCTCCTCTAAAGGTCAGAGAGTGATCTCAAGCAAAAACTCTGAACACCTACAAATAAACCACCCAGAAATTCACTATAGCAATTGCTGAATAAACAGAAGATCGGACTACTTTTATTGACTTAACATGACTAATCATAGGTAAAGAAAATTATAATAAGAGCTAAAAAAAAATCATGAAGTATATGACTCTATCGCTGCTTAGAATACTTTGCAGTATGTTGAGTGTCTTATTCTGTGTAAGAAGCCACATCATCTCATTTAAAACACTTGACTGCAGTTATGATGCGAGTTCGGCGTATACATTTTTTATTAAATGAGGTATTTTCAAATACTTTCTGATGTAGCATCATTAACTACACAGAGCCATATATCACAAACAGCTGCTATTTCTTCAATTTTATTCTCAAATTATTGCATAGTTTGTCAACTTTGACTCGGTGTAATAAATCAGGCCCGGCCCTAACCATTTTTGCACCCAAGGCAAGGTTTCAGGTGGCTCCCCGTCACATCGCAGTAAATTCCACTGCTAGTGTACATATAGTCATAAGAAACTAAATAGCTTTTTGATCGACTACTAGAAGCACGAAAAACATCAGATAAATATGCCAATGCAAACCTTATTGCTGAATAGATCTAATATTTACACATTTTCTTGAGGAAGGAATGATGGGGGTAGTTGCATTACTATTTTCTATAACATCTATGCCCTTCCATAACATTAGCTGATGTTAAAACTAACAGATAACACTATAGCTATTTATAGATTAGCAACCAATGGTATGCCATACCAGTCAACGTTGGGATGTAAAAAATATGGGACAACAAATAGCTTCAAATTATAGAATTCATATCAAACATTCGAAAATATTGACAATAAAATAAAAGATTTAGCCTATTAAAATCAATGGCCTATACAGAAATTAAATAAAGCCATAAAATCTACTTCACTCTTTATTGTATTTGCATATTAAAGTTACTATAGTTATTAAGTGAAGAGCAGCAAATGAATCTCTCATTGTGTTTTGTTTTATAAAAGGTGTCACTGTAAGAATGCAGATCTATGATGAAAGCGTTCGACTACTTTAGTAACTGTTTGTGCTCATTTAAGAGAAAATTAGTTGTGTTTAACACGCAGGACAGACATGTTTACATATTTTTAAGTGTATTTGTCTGTTTAAACACACACCCAAATCACCAAAGTATCGCAAACTGTAGAGAAGCTGATCTGGGAACAGTTTATCAAACGGAGCGCATCCGTCAGTCAGCATGCATGCACTAAATTCAGAGGTTGCGACAATCGACGCACAGCTTTAATGGAAAGAAAGTGAATGCAGACGTTTTTATATTCATTTTAACGTGCTTTCACAATTATCTTCATCAGCTCTTGCAATTCTATCACATTTGAGATGGGCTCTGTATTGATGGTACTTTCACTTTTCATTTAAAGATTAAACACATGGGGGAAATATGGGAAAATTAAACGTGATAGCAGACAAAAGTGTGAGGGTTGACAGATAAATGTCATGCTTATTATTAATGGGTTATCAATCATCGCTTGGATAGCGATTGTGGGGCCATTTGACATGTTGAGCTTGTCTACCAATCACAAAAAAACGAACAGTGTAGCAAGTAAAGTTTAATTATTGGAATGGGGGGGTCTTAAGTGATTAGGATATATTATCATTATTTTATACTACTACTACTTAGTAGGCTTTGCACAATGCAGTTAAATTAATGTGGGCGTAATATTTTAAGTCATAATACTAACTAGTTTTACAGTGAAAATTACACTTTTTTTTTTTTCGTCCCCCATTTCTGGCACCCCCCTGGATGTACGGCGCCCTTAGCATTTGCCTATACTGCCTATGCAATTGGCCGGCCCTGTAATAAATGCTGTTCCATCTGAAAGCACATGCTGGAGATTTACTACTGATAACAGAACTGGATTTACTGACAAAATGTGCCAGAACCAAAAAAAAAAACACCTTCGATTAATTGAGCAGCCCTAGCTCCGAAGATCAACACAGGTGGTTTGGAACATGAAGATGAGTAAATGATGACAATTGTCCTTTTGGGAGAACATCTCTTTAAGATTAAATAACCCAAATAAATTAAACCCAAATATGGCAAATACTGAATCTAAGCTTCTACATTCTAACAGCCAAAGCATGTCAAGATATCAAACAATAATTTAAAGCAAATTTGTCTTCAGAACAAAACGAAGCAAAGTCTGATTTCCTGAGTTTTGAATCATTTTCAAACTCCACCGTTACAAGTACAAACTCATTGGCAGTGTCTACTGAAAGCAGCTAAATGCCAGTGGCGCGTGGTACTGCCACAGAATGCATATCAAAGTGTGAGATCCCTGAAAGAAAATGACTGAAGCTAAACAAACAAGCTACAACGTGAAGCAAAGACACTGGAAAACTGGGACACACATCTGATACTGCAACCACTCACCAACCTGTTATGATACAATACTCAGAAACCATTACAATGAGAGGTTAAAGTATGAAAGTTGAGTGAAAATGCAGATGTCATTGATGTCTTTGTGTGAGCGGCGGCCCAGAGGCCTTCAGTGCCTGTGGCAAACCTGTGAGAAGTCCGTTTTTGACGCGTTGCTCACATGTGCTCAGTTATCCCAGTTTGGTGATCTGAAGACTCCCAACTATCCGGATCATATTAATGGCCTGCAAAGACTTTACTTTGTGATAAAAGTCAAACAGCTGGTGTCCGTCCACAAAGATCCTAAAGCGCTGGTGCTCACAATGGATCTCAATCTGCAGGAATAGGAAAGTGAAATGAGATCAAATCAAAAGAAGCCTTTGTCAGTCACTGAGACGCATTGTGGACAGCGTGTTGAAAGGAAGTGCTTGTCTTATTTTGCATGACTGCTTATCTCAGCTCAACATTTGGAAACAGTGACCCATTTTTGGCCCGCATTCAGCCCCAATTCCAAACAATAAGCGCTCATTATTGTCCAGCATCTTTCCCCACTTCGCTTGTACAACTCTCTGGCATAAGGAATTATTCTGTAATTGCCTGTTATGGAGGAATAAAAACAAGTACATTGAATTGGCAATATTATATATACATTGTATGTTACAGCTGAAAAACAAGGGTCAGATCGTTCTATAAAGTATTGTTTGAATGCTTTTTTAAATAGGTATTTTATGATTATCTTTATTTGAAATATCAAGTCAAAAGAATTTAAATAACCATTTCAGATTTAATATGTAATGTAATTCTTTCATGATGAAGCTGATTTATAAATTTATAAATGTTGAATCACTATTTTATTACATCTGGCGCTTAATAAACATTTCTTCTTAATAAAATTATTATACATTTTGCTTCTCTTAGTATTTGCAGAAACTGTGAGAGGTTAGTTTGAGATTACTTAAAAACAAATTTACCAGCATGGACCACACCACACTTTGGGCTAGACTTTATTGTAGGGATGAAGGGGATGGTAAGATAACAATGGGATGAAGGGGAAAGTAAGTGAGAGGATAAACAGTGAACAGGTTGGTAGGTTGATCGGGCGTCCTACGATGATGCCCAGAGACTCAGAGTGAGGGTACTGTCTCTGTAATATTTCGGTAGAGTAATTGGACCAAGTTAATTCCATAACTGATCTGAAGACATGGGTAAAGTCATTTTTTAAATATAAATATTAATTAACTTTCATTAAAAAACATATTAAAAAATGGTTTCCATAATATTCATTTCACAAAATGTGGCAAGGCATTTTAGTATGATTTGATCTCTAAAGTTATTTCAAACCTTTTTTGTTACAATGCTAGCATTTTTAATAAAATAAACAAATTTAATAAAATAAATCAAAAATCAAATTCCTTGTGCTTACCAGATTATTTTCATCTTTCAATTTAATATTATATTATATACATTTTATTTTATGGCTTAATATGGCTTAAGGCTTAATTTGGTTTGCTTTTACCACATAGCAATAGTGTAAATAAGTAGTCTTTCAGAAACTTCAAACACAGGACAAAAACAGAGAAAACCCATCTGCCGCTGCTCTGGACTTTTGCTTTGCACAGGTTGGAGATCTTAGATCACAGAGGATGTAGATGTCAGTGTTTCAGCTCATTACCCTAAAAGGCTGGTCCGGGATGAAGGGGAAGTAAGCTATGGGTGCCTCCTCCTCACTCCATTTCCCAGAAACCCGTGCGTTCCTCAAGAACTGCCTTTCAGTGAATCGAGCGCTGAGTTTAAGGGCCACATCAGCGAGCTTTTCATCCTCTTTCTCCTCATTGTGGCCACAGGTTAAACTGATGTCAAAGCTGTGCAGAAAACCAACATTCAGAACTGTATGCACAAAATTACAACTATGCAATGCAACTGAGCATATCCCCACATAAAATGTATTTGTTCTGTGTGAAAACATTTGAGAAATATTTATGTTGTTTGTCAGAAATAAATTAGATTGTGTCTATATATAAATATAGTTATCTATATATAGTGTCTATATATAAGACTATATAAATACTACTAAATATAGTGTCTATATATCTATAAATAAATTGAATTAGATTTTACAAATACAAACATTAAAATAAAACAAAACAAAATCTGAAAATTGTGTTACAATGGAATGACACAAGGAGAAAGTACTAACCTACTGAAATGTAATACATTATATAAAAGGCTTTTTTGATGATGGCAGCTTAAAAACACCTCTCATATGGAGAATAAAAACACATGCATTGCTCAGGTGGGATTTTTTTTTTTACAGACTTCATCAAAATGATGGTTCCGTGGGTCTCTTTTATCAAATCTGATCTTTATTTTGTATTTTCTATTGAATTCAAGTCAGGTGAGTTTTACCTCAATTTTCTTTCGCTGAAAGCATTTAAGAGTCTTCTTGGCTGTGTTTTGGACCATTGTCTTGCTGAAATGTCCACCCTGGTTTCATGTTCATCATCCTCATAAGGTATATGTTGGACTGAAGCAGCTAATATTAAATTTACAATGAGGTAGGGTCGAGGTTTGATGATTAACTACTAAGAGATTTCAGCTGCTGTCTGGGCTTTCACTGCCTTTCTACAGCTCCCTTTCTTCATGTGTTTGATACATTTTCCCAGTGTCATTTCATTTTATTACGCATAACTTAATTTGTTAACTAATTAGTTTGGTTTTAACACATAAATAGTTTTCTTTGGTTGTTATCAACATCTGCGGAAAATTTAAAGTCAACGGCACTATTAGAAATATGTTTTCAGAGAAAAATGGTGATGTGTTCAATACTTATTTTCCCTGCTGTACACACACAGACGTTTATTTTTTCATATTTTCATATCCACGTTTAAGGATCATATACAATATGACTAGTCTAGAAAAAAAAAACTAAATTATGAAAGTTTTATAAAATATTCCATCGTCGTACCCTTAATGTAAAAACACAAGAGATCTTCAATGCACTGAGGTTTAAATACTTATTAATCTCTACTACATTCAGTATTTTCAAAGCCCAATAACATACGACTAGCCATCAGTGTTAATAAAACTATGAAAAATGATGCATGAAGCATTAGAAATGGTGTGCTAAAGTGCCAAACAGAACAGATAATCAGCATGCATGAATTTTACATGAATTCACAGTATTTTAGGCCTGCATTGGCATCCATTCACAGTCACACAATGACTGATCTTCACAGTGCACTCCTAATGGGTCAGCAGTATGAATTCCTGAGCTGAAATTACACATTAGTACCACTTAACCATTGATATATCACGTCCATAATGTGCATGTTTAAATAAAATGCTGCATCATTACTATTATGTAATAACAGTAAATATAAAATGTATACTAAAATGTGCCTGACAAATGCACAATTATAAATGGTAACAAAAAGTCTTTGATGCTTATATGAAAGTCAGCATAAACTGGAAGCTGCAACCCTATTGTTTTTCGCATTGTGATGCAGTTCCTAGAGCAACTGAATATTAAAAGATAAAACAGTGGGCATGGCTTGTTTTTTTTAACTGTGAGCTGATTGGATGTAGTAAAGTAGGCATTTCATTCGGAAAAATCAGGAAAAAGGGTTTTTGGGTGAGTTATTACAACAACAGAAACCTCCACTAACCATTTCTGTTTGTTGTCAAAACAAAAATTGAAGGGGTGTGGCTAAGTATGTTAACCACGCCCAATGCCTCAGACAGAAAGAATTTGAGAATTGAACTGAAAACAAACAACAAGTGCATTTTTAGATTTCAATTTTAGATTACAAGTACAAACAATTTTTTTTTTCTTAATGACATGCACAGATAAATTGTTCAACACAAAACTAGCAATGTGAGCTAACGAAATCAATATGGTTAGTTTTGATTTCATGTGTACTTTAAAGAAAAAATTTATTTATTTATGGTCAGTTAAATCCCATTCTAGCGTGCGTTTCCCGAACAACGACATAACTCGCAGCTGAACTATCATAGTACGATGCATTGTTTGGAAAAAGAAAGATGAAGAAAAGAGGGTTTCCCAAAACTGTACTTTCTCTGTCGCAGATCCATCGTTTGAACCACGTTAGTTATAATGAAAAACGCCAATAATTATAAAACGGGGTGGTAACAACTTCTTTAGAGAAGAACCCCATGATCTCTTTCTGCCAATTATACTGTTTTATACACTCACACGAATTGAAAAAAATAATCCAATATTAGTTTTGGTAAAAACATGCACTCACTTTCTATATTGATTAAAATTGTTGTAAATGGAGCATATAGGGCCTGTGTTTCCTTTACAAAAAAATTTAGAAAATTACATATTCTATTCTAAAACATAAAATTACTTACAAAAGCCAACACGCATTCTAATAATATTTAAATAAATAATGAGGCTATTTATTAAGAAATGAAATTGAATATTTATTATTTATTAGGAAATGAAAAAAATACTACTTTGAAATTATTATTATAATTAAGTAGAATATTGTTTGTTTATTTATTTTTTTAAGTCTAATTTTACAATTTGACACATGCAAACCACTGCAGAAATGTTCTAACCAACAGGCCCATGTCATATTCAGTACAGAACAAAAGAATTAACGTATGCTGTTTTTTGTTCTCACAAGCTTTAGAGACGCAACATATATTCCGCTTTTTAAAAAATAGGTCACCTATAGCTTTCGCCATAAGCCACAGCTGTGTTCAAAATGACATCAATGTTTTCAAAGTGTACAGCTAAGAGAGCGCAATTGTAAACATGAAGATCGCTAAAACTAAACTGTAAAAACACTTTGAAAGCAAATTACATCTAGGAGAGGTGATATTTAATAATTCAAAACAGCTTGTTATGAATTAAAATACAATATTAAGCATTTCTGATTAAATAAAGGCAGCCTTAGTAAGAATAAGAAACAGTCTTACCAACCCCAAACATTTGAACAGTAGTGCAATATCACAATTGGGTGTTAAATTTTTCATTTCTGCCTTGCCCACTCTTGAGTTTTAATACTGTACAATTGGTGCTGAACTCTAGGTGCTTTATTGAATTATTGGTGCTATATTTAAGGTAACAATAATTAAACTTCCTTATAATGACTGATTGCTAAAACGACAACAAATCGCTTGTGGGCCAAAGAAAACATGGTTTAATTTAGCGCTTAATTCAAATTACACTAACAAATGTGGTTTCATATGCATAGAAAGTATACTTTTTTATCTTTTAATCGGTGGGTAAGACGGTAAAACTTCTGATAGTTATTTATATATTATATTCCTTTAAAAAATACAAAATGTGACAAGAAACACAATTACATAATATTAAGCAATTTAAAGCTATACTGAACAAACACACACACAAATTAAAAACATATAAAAGAACAAAAACAACTGCAAACTAAAAAAAGCATAAGACTAACCGCCTTCACACACTGTCTTGTGTAAAATAACTGAATGAAATGATTTACAACAGATTACATCAACCACACTAAACTGTTCATTTTCCAGGACACACCCAGTGCTCTCAGTTTGGATATTTGTTCCCTTAACAGCTAATGTAAACACCCATCAACACTAAGCAGTGCTCACTCACACCCATTCAGCGTGTGTCTGAACTCTCCTGTAACTCAACAACCCATTCAATCTAAAACAAGCTCTGGCTGATTCACAAAACACATCACTTCCTCAATCCAAACAGCTCATGAAGCACACAAATACCGTTTCAATAAGATGGCAAGATGTTTATTTGCTATGTGTCTGATGTAAATATTTGCAACTGCTAGAATGTGTACGGTCTGAAATATGCAATCTTGATATGAAAACACACCTGTCTGGCTCTGGATCAACAATGCCCATTATGATGATCTTCTTCCCAGGCCTCATCCCACCTCTTATTCGTCCACTGAATGGAACTGTCTGGTTTATCAGATGATCAAAATCACCATTAGTACAGAAATTACAGTTTAATTCAATTAAAAAATTTTTTTTTGCATTTTACTCTACCAAAATGCGAGAGATGTCTTCTTTGTCAGGAGAAATGAGCCCAGCATCTCCAAACGAGATATTAAGATTAAGATCATCTTCTGTGTTCTTCATATGAGAATGAGAAGATGCATAAGTTTAAAGAGCATTGAAACAAGTACAGGATGCATGCAAACACTGTAGCGCAGATGCAAATTTTAATAATAAAACGACACGCCTTCACTGCATCTGTTTTCCAGATTTAAACACAGAATGTGCACCAAACATATGACTTAAACGATGAAAAAGACGAGAAACATTCATATTGCGTTGAAATCGTCCACGTCTGCGGCGCATTTCTACACGCTCCTTGTGAATGTCTTTAACTCCCGAGTATGAGGAACGAGTCATCTCTCCTCATGTGATGGATACAGATTTTTCCACTTCGCTTTGTGATAAATACACATTCTGTGATAACTATAATGTTCCGTGTTATGAAAATAGTACGCTTTGTGATATATTAAAGGTATTTTGTGACTTACTATCGCGTCCTTTTCCATGCTCGCCACCGCCATCTTGAACAAAATACCATAGGATGCTTATCAAAGGCGGTCCAGCCCAGGAATCTGTCAGTGTCGTGGCAGACTGGACAGGGAGCTGCAAGGTGTCTAAGTTCAATAAGACAAACCAGAAATCTTCGACAAGAAATAAGAAACGACTCTTATTGTGTCCACGCGTGAAAGAAATATGCTGACACGCGGATTATGGTACGGGTGGAGACGTTAATCCAGCCTCCGAATGAGCCTAATCTGCAGATCTCATTGGATCTGAGCATAATTACAAGAAAAGTATTAAGTGGCAAATGTATTTATTTTTATTTTATGTTTTATTTGCTGTAAAAGTGACAGTTTCTTTGTCTTTTGTGGTATGTGCGTTTATTATTATTATTAGTGGGATTTAAAGTATTGTTTGTAACAACTCAGT